GTTTTCGTCGCTTGGCAACGACGTTGTAAAACAAGCCGCCCCCCCCGGTGTTTGCCAATCTATCTTAGACTTAATTCGATAGATAGATAGAGATGGATTTTTTGTGTGATATTAAGAAAATAAAAGAAAAACACAGAGGAGACAGAAACTGTTAGAAGAGCGACTTCTTTGTCGTCGCCAAACTCTCGCGGGGGAAACAAACAAACGATGATGGTGCATGACAGACACTCACTGCTGTGAAGCTGAAACACATCAAATGTGCCAAACATAGCACCATCCATGCCAGGCATGGATGCCTCCATTCGGCTGATTGGTGTTGGTTTCTATATAATTTTGTCTAGTCTGCGTCAGCTAATCTGTCTTAGACTTATTTCTATAGATAGAGATGGCTTTTTCGTGTGATATTAAGAAAATAAAAAAAAAAAAACACTGAGAGACAGAAACTGTTGGAAGAGCGACTTTGTCGTCGCCAAACTCTCGCGGGGGAAACAAACAAACGATGGTGCATGACAGACACTGCTGTGAAGCTGAAACACATCAAATGTGCCAAACATGGCACCATCCATGCCAGGCATGGATGCCTCCATTCGGCTGATTGGTGTTGGATTCTATATTTATATATAATATAGATAGATAGTCTAGTCTGCGTCAGTCAGTAAAACCACCAATCAATTTGTCCTGCGCCAAAAGGAAAAAAGTGCGCATATTTATTGCAGGGAAAGAAATAGGCACATGCATATAGTATGGTCAGTCTGGGACAATTTGTCCATTTTGATTTTTCGCGTATCTGTCGAAAGAAGAAGTCGATTCAGGAGGAATACAAGCCATCTTGGTGTTCCCCACAATTAGGCGAGAAACATATGAAAAGTATTTTTTTTGACAGCCCAACACTAATATTAAATAAATTCTGAGCTACCCCTTCGAAATAAATGTTGTTGACGACTGACTGGGAGAAAATCAGGGTTTTAGACAAAAAACGGAATATCTCGCGAACCAGAATTTTAATTGAAATTTGGAAAAATAAACACCTGGGGATTGTCGAGAGGAATCGATTGCCGCACTTTATTTTAAAATCGTACGGTTCAATATCGCAGGAAAAACGAAGCCAAATGGCACCCCAAATAAATCCAGTTTTTCGTCCATAACTTCTTGATTTTTTGCTCAATCAAATCAAAATCGGAAAACAACCCACCTGGGGAATTTTTAGAGCTGTCTAAATCCGGTCTCAGAATTGTTGTCTGTCAAATACCCACCCCAGGAAAAAGTATGTTGTTGTTATTGATGGTTTTACTGACGCAGACTAGACTGTATATTTATATAGAAACCAACACCAATCAGCCGAATTGAGGCATGGATGGTGCTATGTTTGGCTGGCACATCTGATTGATGTGTTTCAGCTTCTTCAGTGTCTGTCATGCACCATCGTTTTTTTTTTTCCCGCGAGAGTTTGGGGACGACAAAGTTGCTCTAACAGCAGTGTCTGTCTTTCGGTGGGTTTTTTGTTTTTCGGCGAGAGTTTGACTGGCAACCAATGGTTGTTGTTTAATGTCTAACAGGCACCCCCCCAAAAAAAAAAGTGACTCTCCCGCAACGCCGTGGGGGCCCCAACCCCAAACCCCAAACAAACCCCTACCGGCATCGGGGCACGATGCTATACAGCAGCACTACCACAGAAGTAGCACATCGCCACGAGGAGTACAGCATAGGTTTTGGTGTTGTGTCGTCACATCTCTCTTGTACATACAGCAGCAGGCACTTTATCTGAATGAATTTGGGGCTGGTTGGACCGTTATTATTATTTCCCTCCGCGGCTGGTTTCGAAACGAGAACCAACCGTCTTGTCGTTTACTGTTTGTTCGGCTACGACAGACAGAGAGAGCAGTACATGCATGGTCTAGTGGGTAGACCTCGCAGCCTGCTAAGGGCCAGGTCATGGGTTCGAGCCCCGGCAGAGTGAGTTTTTTCTCACTAAATATATCCTGGTCTAGGATGAAGAAAGCGACGCGCTGCAAAGAAGCTCGTTGTTAGTAAACCATAATCGACTTCTTCGTAGGTCGCGAGGGAAGGGATTGCTGCACCCTTCTCGCGATAAAAATACCACAGGCAGGAACCACAGGAGGGGGTCCAGCCCCCCCCTCCTATGTGACCCCGGTTGGGTCGTCTAGCTAGTAGAAGTGGAGGATAGGGGCCAGAGGTGCAGACGACAGAGTCCAATGATGGGAGAAAAAAAAAATGCTTACGCTACTTTATTCAAGAAACGCGCCAACATCCAGAAGTGGTAAATATATGTAGTCATACTACTACAACACTAAAAAATACCTGGTTTGAGAGAGAGAGAGAGAGTGGTGAACGGAAGGAGGACAAAGGAAACGCTTGGGAAAACTTGAACTTGCAAAAGCGATGACGTGGAACAATGAAAGTTGCGACGAGGATGGCCTGGGTCCAAGAAGAAAGCACGTAGTTGTTGCTCGCAATATGTGAACAAAAAGGTGATCGCCACAGGCTCAAACTTACAGGAAACTGCTATTGGCACCCCCAACACAATCCTCACGAAGGAGGCAGTAGTACTCGTGGCATTTACATCATCAGCAGAGGTCACGACGACCGACGGCAACCGCGCCCCTTCCGGCCAAAAGTTTCGCCTCTGGAGATAAAAAGAAGAGGAGTGGCCAAAATCGGGTACACCCGCCCCAATCCGGCCATTATCGGGTACACTATTTTTTTTAGGCGGCAGCGCCCTCCTGGCGCCATTTGATTGGCCGACGCCCGCCCCTACCCGGCCCTGACCCTATTCCCACCGGGTGCACCCGATCTTGGCTACTCACCCCCCGGAGGGGTACTCGATCTTAGTCTCGCCTACCCTATGTATGGAAGATGACAATATATAGAGCGTAGCTACGCTCTATAGACTATATTGTCATCTTCCATAGCGCCTACCCGAAAATGGCTGGGCTATTCGACCAACAGACCAACAGCAGACCACGCTCACGAACACCAGTCACCAACACCCCGCACTCGAGTTCCGATGCTTCCGACAGCGGGCGGAGGCGGACCTAACGCGGCTAACGCGGCGGAACTCTCGTTTGAAGTGGATCAGTGGATCTCTCTCTCCTGCAACGCGGCGGAATTTTCGTTTGAAGTAGATCTCGCTTCTGCAAGTAGATCTCGCTCCTCAACCCACCAAGTCTCTCGTGGTTAATCTCGGCACTCGTACCTGAACGGTCTACTGGCATCGGCAGAATATGAGCGATGAAGTAGAGAACACCGCGGTCCTCGCGCAAGGCGCGTGCTACTTCACCACCAGCAATCTTAGGACAGCGTTCATTCTGCGTGTACCACCACTCTCTCTATCTTTCCCCATCTATCTCCTGTGGCAAGCCCGCAGTTCCTTGTCTCTCCCACGTACTCACGAGAGGTCGAAGTCAAGGAAGTATCATCGCTGTTTAATCTGAGGTCCCATGGCATCCACTGCTTGCTGCTGCTGCATTATTACTGTACGATCCTCTTCCTACACAACAATGTGTCATATGTCTCCGGTCTTGATGGAGACATATCAACGGCATCCACTGTTTGCTGCTGCTGCATTGCTGTGTACGAACGACCCTCTGCGTACACAACAACGTGCCATACATCTCCGGTCTTGATGTGTCTAGAAATGTATTCCAGACGAAAGCGACACCTTGATGCTTCTGTGCCTGATGCTTCCGTGGACATATCTGAGCTGCGTCATGTATTTGTGTGCAGCTCAAGTGATCACGTGAGGTATTGAGAGGCATTCATCCACCGCCGCCCGCATGGCCCTCTCTCCTGCCTCTCCGATACGAAACGAGAACCGAAGAGTTCCGCCGTCGGCGGTGGGTCGCAGGAGGAGTCTTGCAGGAGAGAAATCCACTTCAAACGAGAGTTCCGCCGCGTTAGCCGCGTTAGGTCCGCCTCCGCCCGCCGTCGGAAGCATCGGAACAGGAGTGCGGGGTGTTGGTGACGTGTTCGTGAGCGTGGTCAGCTGGTGGTCTGTTAGTCGAACAGCCCAGCTATTTTTGGGTAGGCGAGAGTAAGATCGGGTACCCCTCCGGGGGGTGAGTAGCCAAGATCGGGTGCACCCGGTGGGAATAGGGTCAGGGCCGGGTAGGGGTGGGCGTCGGCCAATCAGATGGCGCCAGGAGGGCGCTGCCGACTGTGTAAAACAAGTGTACCCGATAATGGCCGGATTGGGGCGGGTGTACCCGATTTTGGCCACTCCTCTAAAACGAACAGGCGACATGCGCAAAAGGCAATGATTGACATTGGCGTAGACATGGGAGTGTATGGATGAAGCGGCGCTGGATAGGGCTCAGAACAACAACAACAACAACAACAACAACAACAACAACAACAACAACAACAACAACAACAACAACAACAACAACAACAACAACACAACAACAACAACATCAACAACAAGTGCAAAAGAAAGCGCTGTCCATGTGCGGATTATAGCCAAGTGTTGCACCGAACATGGGGCGATGGCTACGGTCTGTTGTTGTGTCCGGTAAGTCGAATGAAGTTTGAGTCCGTTGCGGAGAAATCATTTCGAATACACAGCAGTGAGGTTTCGCACCTCGTGATCACGTGCGTTTTGACGAGGGCACCCTCATAACGCCGACATCGAGCACTATAGTCTAATGATGCCAGAGGAATTGTGACCGCAATGATGCAAACAGGCGCTGGCTCAGACGATAGTTTGGAGCGTTTCAGGTTTGATAGTGACCAGACTTGTTCTGGGATTGGGTTTTAGGGGTTTTGTTTGGGTAAAGGCGTTGACAAGCTCGTTGGCTCCCTGTGTGAGGGTAAGTTGGCGAATGGATTGAATGCATCCCAGCACCGACATGCACATACAAACGCGTTTTTACCTACTTTGGCTGAAATTCGTTAACTTCCTGCCTTGCGTCTGCCACCTACGGACCTCCACAAGAAACAGCTGGACAGCAGCGACAGCAGCAGCAGAAAGAGTTCTATAAGAATAGCTGGGCAATACCTTATCGGCCGAAATCCCGTCGAAGCCGGCTACGATGACAAAGAGGCGCTGCCTTTGTGGTAGATCTCTCGGTTCATCATCTTGCTACCCCGTCGTGTCAGCGGTACATGTTTGTGCTGCCCGTTCGTGTCAAGGACAGTGCGTTTTCGAGCAGCAACGAAACAAAAATGGTTGGTAGGCATATGTTGCGGGTGAATGTGGTCATAATTATTGTTCTTGTAGATTTCGGAACGTGTTTGTTGCAAAGAAACGATAACGAGAAATGTCGACCTCCCTCCGCGCTCATGAAGCACCATGCTATGCCCTCGGGGGAGAGTACATGAAGGAGGTGGCACGGCAATATATTCGGCACTGCGTGGGAGAATAGTTAGAGAGCGATCATTACCGTGTCAAGAAAGACAATACCGACCGCCAGGTGCAACAAATGGCAAATGGTGTAAGAAGCCTTTGTTTCTTAGCTTTTCGAGTGCTGTCGAAATTAACCCGGGTGCCGTCGAACGCGCGGTCATTGAATCAGTCCGCTGATGTTGCTCTCTCTAATCGCGGAGATCTTACACCCCATTTGTGGCTAACTTGTGCGCGCGCGTTTCCTGCAGAGAAAGGTGCGCTTTCCACAGCATGAACGTACGCTAAATATGAAGGAGCCTGCTTGCAGCGCTCACCTTAGTTGTGACACCGAGTAGTGCTTCACCATGCAATCGAGCGGCATTCCATGCTCCCCCTCTGCTTCCCTCGCGCCGATCACGATCGGCAGGAAGCCTCCTGTCGCTGCCCCCTCGGCTCCC